GGTTTGAGGGAGGGGGGGGGGGTCACACGCTTTTTCTAACAGGGGCCTGCAGGTTTCAGGAGGTTGGAAAGGTGACTTTGCTGAAGAAATGTGGTCAATAGGCCTGAGGGGCTAGGTAGCAGCTGGGAACTACACTGCAAACCTCCAGCCCTCTCTGCTCTCCTGAGCCTCTGTTTCTTTCTGGATGTAAGGAAAATATTCAGGAACATACTACCTACACCTGCCACAGTGCTCTGGGCTAAGTGAGAGATGCCAGACTCAAAGGTTACTCACTATACGATTCCCTTTATGTGGCTTTCTAAAAAAAGCGAAACTACTGGGTCAGAAAACAGATCAATAGCTGCCAGGAACAAAGAGGTGGAGAAAGGGATTTTAACTCTGAAGGGGTACGAGAGAACATTTTGGGGAGATCTGATTGTTCTCTATCTTGATTTGTGGGTCTTCCATCATTGTCTAAGTTGGTCAAAATTGATGGCACTACATGCAAAACGGATAGATTTTATTATAGGTGAATTACAGTTCAATCAACACACACAAAAAGATATTTCAGGGCCAGCCAAATGGCTCAAGGGATGGAATGTTACGCCTAGCAAGTACAAAACCTGGAGTTCAAACCTAAAAAGAAAAAAGTGTTTCTCTCTCTCTCTCTCTCTCTCTCTCTCTCTCTCTCACACACACACACACACACACACACACACACACACACACACACTTACACACACACATACACAGAGATCTCAGCTGTTCCTCTCAGTTGCTGATGCAGTGACTCTTCCCTGACACCTTGTTTCCAAATCCCCACCCCCTTTCCCTCTTAAAACACCAGCTTCCTACCTTAGAAAGAGGGAAAATGGATTCAGGAAAGAGGCCTTGCCCAGCCCGAGTCTTTGTTCTTAAATGAGGATTTCTGAGAATGCTCATAATATGCCAGTGAAGCAGAGGTAGGACAAATGGGACTCAATAGAGCGCATAGAGCACTACATTATTTATTTAGTTAGTTATTTAGTTATTTTTGTGACTGGGACTTGAATTCCAGGCCTGGGCAACTATCCCTTAGCTTTTTCACTTTCCACTTTTTGCTGGTTTAATTGGAGCCTGGAGCTGGCTGTGAACCATGGTGTCCTCAAATCTCAGCCTCCTGAGTAGTTAGGATTATAGACAAGAGCCCTTGATGTCAAGCTAGAATGCTACTGTTTGGATTTTTATCTGGGTCTGAAGGAGGAGTTACTGGCCTCCCACCGTGCTGTCACTGAGGCTGATGGCAAGGGCATTGATTGAGGCCATCCAAGGACACCTGGCCCTCACTGGGAGGAGAATGATGGGCTTGTCCAGGCAGAGGGGCTGCTGCCTATACTGTCAACAGAGTCCACAGCCTTTGGCTGCTGGGAAGGGCCAGGCCTCTGGGGAGGGGTGAGGTCATTGTTTGGAAGGGATTTGTAGACCCCCTGTCTGCCTTCACCAACTCCCTAGCCTGACTCAGATCTAGTTCTAGCTAATACCCACACTGGTTTCAGAGAGCACATACTACATATGAAACACAAGCTAACCCCTCTATGTTAGTTCCCAGCTACTGTCTGATTTTGAAATTCTTATTTTCTGAATGAAGAGATAAAAGCTCAGACGGAAGGTGTGTGACTCGGTCTCTGCAATCAAGGGCTGCTTCTCCGTGTTGTCAGCTGAAAGAAGTTAGACCTGGTCAAGGAGTCTCCATGGTTCTGTGGAAAACAGAGCAGGAGCAAACCAGACAGAAAGTTGTGTTCCAGATGGAGTTCACACCAAGCTGCAGACCCCACACCCACCCTAGGCCCCTTCAAATTAACCAGATCTAGGCTGGGTGCCTGGGACCCATGCCTGTAATCCTAGCTACTCAGGAGGCCGAGATCTGAGGATCTCAGTCTGAAGCTAGCCTGGGCAGTCTTTGAGACTCTTATCTCCAATCAACTATTTAATGCCCCCACTCCCACACAATAAAAGCCAGAAGTGGAGTTGTGGCTCAAGTGGTAGAGTGATAGTTTTGAACAAAAGAAGCTCAGAGACAATGCCTAGGCCCTGAGTTCAAGCCCCAGGACTGGCACACACACACAAAATAAAATAACCAGACCTCTCCCTTCTGCCCTCCAACCTCTGATTGGCCAGGGAGCCTTTCCTTCAGGGTATGGAAGTCTGGGGCAGATCCTAGAAACCCTTTTGCAGATTCTAAAGGGCTGGACACAGGGGAAGTAGTTGATGGCAGGCATCGAAACACCACACATTCCCATGAGCGCTCTTTCTGAGGTGAGCAGGTTTCAGGAACATACACTGGGCAGGGCCCTGTGGGTCCAGGCAGGCCTGTACCCATCTGATGGAGGCCTTTGTTTGCAGATGTTGCCTGCTTGGAGAAAGTCCTAGGATCAGAGACACTATGGGAGGTCCTGATGGCTCCTCAGGAACTGGGACTGATAAACAATTGGAAGCTGGCACATACACCTGTTTGACTAAATATCCCCAAGAGGCGAAAAGGTGGGGTGGTGGGGGCAGTCAGGGAAGCTTTTGGACATCCTCAGAGGATATAGCTCTTAGAGTTCAGTAGTACCTCCAAGGCCCTACTTTATCTTAGACCTAACGGCAGATCTCAGTCCTTGGTCTGTAGAATTGCGAGCACACAGTGACAGCTTGATAGATGAAGATACTGGAAATAAACCAGATGGCTGGCTAGGGAGGAGGGGTTTCAGGTTCCCTGGAGGGGTTGGCTATGACCGAGGAGGACAGGAAAGCATGGCTCTTGTGTTGGGGCCAGGATCTGGTGGGCGCCACTGAGTATGGGGATCCCCATCAGAGATGGGTGTGACCTTGATCTTGACCTGGATGGCAGAAAATACACGTCAAGGAGACAGGCGGCCCTGGGGTAAAGAGATGTGTTGGTTCCCATCCAGATGTGATTGAAGACCTCTGCCTACATCTGAGAGATCTTTTTTTTTTTTACCTTGGGGAGTGAAAATTCTGTCACTGAAACACGTAGTTGGGTGCCAGCCCTGCCATCAGTCGATGGTCCTTTTGACTTTATTCTCATTCTCCTCTCATCAGCCCGACTCTAAGTCCTGCTGCTTCGACATTAGCAGAGAATGAGATTGTCACTCAGGAAGCCAAGACTCCCCGTAAGGAGCACCGGCTGTAGGCTTTAGACTTCAATCTTGGGGACTTTATTCAAAAGGGTTTCAAAGCAGTCAGTGGGTTTTCACCTGAGCTCAGTGGGACATGGAGATCATGCAGCCAAAGACCCCCTGACAGCCCTTCAGGGCCTTTGGTCTTTGGGTGACACTGCTGATCTGGCTTTTCTGAGCCATTTGGCATCCTTAGGAGAGAGAAACAGTTGTCCACCCCACCTCTCTGTTATAATAGGGCAACAGGGCAGGAAGCAGTAGGGGAGTGGTAGAATTTTTTTTTTTCCCTAGAAGCAAATGCTCCACCATGAGTCCTCAAACCAAAGAGTCACACAGAGCTGGCTGGGTTGTAGTGGATTCAAGTCATTTATTATTAGATTGTTATTAGCATGTTTGGTTCTGGGTTTCAATTTCCCCAATAATTCCAGAAAAATAAACTAATGAGAACCACATGCACTATGAGAAGACCATTCTGACGTGTCCGTGATCATGCGGTGAGTGGGCATAGGATATGGATCAGGAGTCCGCCTTGTGAACAGGGCCTCCCCTCCCCCACACAGCCGACAGCAGCTGCCACTGAGCCTCACTGGGGCTGGGGAGTGGGCTGAGTCTCTGTCATTTGGACCCTGTGCATTGAGGGCCCTGGGCCCCTTATTGCTACATTTGCTACTTTATGGCCCCTGGCTCTTGTCCAGGGGATGTCTTATCACTGGGTGGCACTAATGAGTAGGTTGCTGGCTTCTGCTGTTGCCATGGTTACGTGAGCACAGGTCTCTCTTCAGAGGGTCCTGTGGTGAGTTATGAGTTATTTATTTGGCCACTGTTTGATTATTCCACAGTCCATATTCATCTCAGCCAGATTTCTCTTCTTCCCTCAGCCTAGATCTTCCCAGATCTCCTGGAACTTACTGGAACACCTCTCCCCCCACCCCCCCCCCCCCATACATTGCGCATGGCCTAAAGACCAGCAAACTTCCATCCTTCCCACCTTCTGGGAAGGTGTCTTGGTGGTGGCTTTTGAAGCGCGTGCATGTAAAGCTGAGTGGGAGGGGTCAACTTCCACAATGAGCAGAGGAGCAGGTTCCTGGTTCCGCATCCTGTTGGTGAGGTAGTTTGAACATACCAGGAATCCTGCCAGGGAAGAACCCCAGAGTGTGTCCCCAAGTGTTCAGCTAATGCACACAGAAGCTTAAAAGTTACAAGAGACCCCTCTGGGGGTGCTGGCCTGCTACTCAGCGATTCAGCAGTGGGGAGCTTGGAATAAAGTCTCAGCCAACTGCACGGGCAGCTGGGACCCACTTTAGTCCTGGGGTACAACAATGCCTTCTCAGGAAAGCAAAGCTGATATTGAACTTTCTAGAAAACCAGGAGGCTTCTCTTCAGCTCAGAGAATTTGAGCTGTCTGGGTGCTATTAGGCCACCTGCCAGTTGTATTATTTTCTCACACATGGAAAACATTTCAGCCAAGTGCCCACTATGGCTGGTATAGGCCTCACCTGGGAGGGAGGGTTTGGTGGTTGCCTTCTTCCCTGGTGCTTTGGCTATGACATTGCCAAAATGATTCCTGCCCTATGAGTCCTCAGGAGGAGCCATTTGGGGCCCAGAGACCATACTTAGGGGAGTATCCTCGTGACCCCCCCTCCCTCCCCCCTACCTCCCACCCCGTGGCAGGGAGGGAGGATAGAAGAATCTGTTCTGCTAAAGAGCTGTCTTCAAACTTCCTATCTCATCTGCAGTTTTAGATCAGGCCCATGGGGAGCTGGCCAAGTCCCAATTTTCTGAATCTTTGCATTACAGGGTCTTCATGGTAGATGGAACAACTTGGTCAGGGCCACCTTGTTCTACTTCCTTTTTTGCAGCGCCTGGCTTGATCTACTAAGGAACAGATAGTTGTGGACATGACTGAGCTTGCCTCTGTTGTGGGCTGCAGATGAGAGGATTATTGCTCTGGGTTTGAATCCATCTGATGTTTCGTTCCTTCTTTTGAGCCTGCTGACCCTGCCCTCCTCTCTGGATGTCTTAAGAGATGTTTGGAGGCCTTTAGCCTAGTCTACCTCAGGGCCTCAGGCTACCTGAGTCAGGCAGGCTCTCTGAGGAGCTCCATGGTAAGGCCCATTCTCAAGCCAGCATAGATGAGGAGCAGCCAAGAACTTAGGGGAGAATGAGGCATTGTCATGGCCAGGTTTTGTGTACAGCCTGGTTTAGAATGCTATCTGCATCTGGTAGAGAGTCAGGAGGCATCTATGCCCCTTGCCTTGAATAACATAGGTCATGGCAGTGCCTTCTGTTTGAGAACACCCTTGTCACATGCCCAGTGTCTCCAGTCAGTACAGCCTGGGACTCCTTGCCAGAGAAAGGAGAAGGCCTTCTTTGGGCAATGTTGGTTGTAGATAAACTTGGGCTACAATTTTGTTCTAAAATGAAAGGTTGTATGGAGTGGGAGAGAATTTAAAAAAAAAAATGGGGGAAAGTAAAAGGGGAGTCAAAAGACCCTAGGGAGTGTCTACAAAGTGTCAGGGGAGTGTCTACAAAGTGTCAGGGGCTGTGTGTCCACCAAAAATTGGTTGTCTTTGGAGACATTCTCTAGTTTCCACTAGGAACTATGAAATATAGTGTCAATAATGCACAAAGAAACAACTATAATGATTTTCTCTCCATAGTGGCTCCCTTGTAAGGGATGAGCGGAGAGGCTGGTAGGCACAGACAGGACTCAGAAATGGGTATTGGAAGATGGGCCATATGAAGCACCCAGGAAGCCAGGTCTGCAAACAAACATTTGAGCCTTTGGTCACCAGCTGGTAAATTTGCCCGCATGGGTAAAGAAACACCATGGATCACTTGTTTCCTTCTTGGTGCTCTGTTTATACACTCCCAAGGGAGATTGTTCACCTGTGGCCAAAGTAGATCAAAGGAAGATCATCATAGCAGGTGGGAAAGGGATATGAGTGTCTGAATTCAAAAACAATGCTGTCCTAGGGGCTTCTGGGTATCACAGTAACAACGACAATAATGACAGTATCAGCTACCATTTGCTAAGCACCTACTACGTGTCTGGCACCTCACTTGGTGCTTTACATATATGACCTCACAACCAAGTTGGCAAATAGTCATTTTGACACTTGTATACACACACACAGAGGGAACATGAGGGATTTTTTTTTTTGCAAGGTTTGCGTCCTCGTAGATGATAAGCTTTGCTTAATGGGGTGCTTTAGCTGAGTCCTCAGATCAAAACTGGGAATGGAACCTTGTGACCCTGGCATTGGCACATTCTCCCCTCTCCCCCAGCTGCAGGCACAGTGGGGACAGAAAGGGCCTGGCTGTGCCTGGAAGGATGCCAATGTTGGGGGGGGGGAAGGAGGGTACAGCCAGCTCTGCGATCTGTGATCCAGCCACATCCCCCGCAGTGGGGCTGCCGGAGGGGAGAATCCCAATGGCCTTGTGTTCGTGGCCCTGTTTATTTTGAGTAAAACAAGAGGAACAAATCAAAAACTAGAATAGGAAGAAAGGATAACTTTTAGAAAGATGGTCATCAGCTGCTAAAAAGGCATGCTGTCACCTATCCTCATGTATCCCTAAGTGCACATTTGACAGGACCCAAAGGTGGCCAGCAGGTCTGTGGGGACCTCTTCAAAACTTGCTCTCCAAGGGGATGGAAAGAGCTGGAGGTGACGTTTCCTTAGTGCTGAAGATGTGATTTGGACATTTCACACGAAAGCATTGCTGGCACTGGCCGGTTATACCTGCATGGTCATGGAGCAGGAGGGAGGGCTGGGGGAGAGGATGGCGATGGGACATGGTGGCTCAATTTATGATGTGCACTGCGTGTCCATCAGAGAGAGGGCAGGCAGGTGATGCATAATACTGCATGTGTCAAGGACCCCACCCTCCCTCTTGAGTTTGCCCAAAGGCATGATTTCCCCCAGATGGCCTGAGGAATGAGGATCATAAGAATGTATTCTCAAGTGACAGTCACATAGGAACCCCAGGAGATGATCTAGCTCCAGATGCAGTCAGAAAGGAGGCCTCTGAGAGAAAGAGCATTGGTGCTCAACTGGACAAGGAAGAGATCCTGGCGATAGGGACCTCTCCAGGCTGCCCAGCGCAGTGGACTCTCTTTCTGGTCTCTCCGCTCACCCACCGTGGCCCCCACCTTTGCCTTCCATGGCCCTCACTCTTTCTCCTTCACAGTGACCAAATCTCCCCGCAAGGAAGCTCTTTCTGCCGATGTAGAACGTCGCCGGCCACCCGGATTCTCTGCAGGCCCAGGTCCCGGCCCTGCGGTGGGGACGGTCAGGAGGACTGCATCAGGCCGGTGAGGCGCTTGCCCGCCAGCGACTTTCCCTGCAGAGAGACAGCCGACAGAAGCACACACGGGCACGCACACCCATACACACACACACAGAGGGACAGAGACAGAGAGCCAGACAGGTGAATTAATTGTTGCATGGAACATAAAAGGTCAAATGACCAACCAACCCAATGACCAGTTTCACATGGGATCTCTTGGTACAGAGCACTAATGGAGGACTGTTGGAGAGGCCAGATCTGCAGGACCTGTACCCCATGTTGGGGTGGGGTGGGATGATGGTATGTTTCTGCAATTCGTTTTAGGAGTATCGAAGTTTTACTTACCCAAAGCCGGGCATTTAAACCCTCAGAGCATCTCTTAAAGCCGTAGGCTGTTCCTAAACATGTTTTTCCATGGGTTGGGGAAAAATAGGTGGGTTGTGGAGTATTGAGGTCAGGGATGATAGGTTGATCCAAACAGATGGGTGACTAAGGATCTGAGGGATTAGAAACCAAGGGATTAATTCAGTCTTGGGAATGCCGAAGGACCTGTGAGTCCTGCTTGATAGACACACAGGCTTTGGGTCCTCTAGGTGACAGTTGCAGGGTCTGTGAAAGTAACAGGGACATTTGTTGAAGCCCAAGTCACTAGAGGCCCCAGAGACATGCCCTCCTGCTGTTCCTCATGCTTTTTACTCCCTTGGCCTTCAGAGGCCAACTTTGATGACTCCATGCTAGGAAGTCTACAAGCTCTTTACTTACAACCAATGTGGCTATTCTTAGTTTTTAAGATCCTACTATAAGTAGGCCCAGGAGGCCCAGGCATGAGACACAGAGGTCCTAGGCAAGTCCAGTCATCTACATACCCTGGAGAGGTGGTTGAGGGGCCTCTGATCTGGGAGTGGAGTCAAGACTAGACAAGGGGGTAAGGGAGGGGGAAGATGAATGAGGCTCAGTAGTTCTGCTTATTTTCCTGACAGAGGCTGTACCTATTTTTTGTTCACTCTTTTAGAAATCCATATCCTTGGGCAAGGGTCTAGAGAGAGTGTGGCTGCGCCCAGGCGGATTGATCATTGTGTCTGGGAAAACACTCAAACCCATCGTGCTATTGACAGCAGGTCAGTGACACCATTGCCATCTGTAAAGGTAGCAGATGATCTCCCTGCAGCAAAGGACTATGGGGATTGGAGTGAGAATGCAGGGGCCAGCAGTTCCTCACGTTCATTTCCAAGTGAGTGTGGGCGCCTCTTGTTTACTAGGTTTGGCTGTGTGTAAGTTGGATGTAATTAAAAAAATTGATCTGGTTTGTAAACCTTGCTAGGGTACTCAATAAACCCGCTGATTGATGAATTGATGGATAAAGGGTATCTAATAAATGAGCAACACAGGCTTGGGTTTAGTTAGATGTAGGACAATTGTGTCATTTGGCTTAGATCCCCATAGAGGGATATGGCCAGTCTGACTAAGGTTTCTGATGGCCTGGATGGGGCTTGTCTAGAAAAAGAATTGCTTTAAGGAGCTCTTGGAAAGTCTGTATCTACCTCCCTGCCTTTTCCCCTTTCTTTTCATTTCCTAGTCTACTAGCAAGACAAAACATTTTCATTAAGCCCCTTATGTTTAAAAAAAATACATGCATGCACACACACAAATCTCCCCACCAACAACCTTATCTGAATCTTCAAATTTTCTTGGCCTGCAGCAAGGTATGTTACACTAGACTAAGAATTTTTAAATCAGAATTTTTTTTTAAGTCCTAGAAGGTTCCTGAATCAGTCTTTGAGACTTACTGAACAAGGTGGCCAACTCATTTGTTTAGATCATGGTAGGTGCCTTAGTAGCTCTTAGAAAACAGAGGCTAGCCTTCAAGTCTTCCCTACCAGTTCTAGATTTTGTCTCAAATCCCTAGCTATCATTCTCCCAACCATCTAAAGTTCTTCTTAGGTATAATGTGAAACATTTGTCATTTCATTGGGTCATTTGGGACTGTACCTTCTCAGTAAAGGCCTGAAGGCAGGAAGCATGGGATTGTGTGTGTGTGTGTGTGTGTGAGAGAGAGAGAGAGAGAGAGCGAGAGAGAGAGCGAGAGAGAGAGAGTGCAAGCCTGTGTATGGTGGGGTTTCCAGAGCAATATGAGTCTAGGAGTCTTCTGCTGTGGGAGTTTCCTCTCCTCTCTCACTCATATCTACTCCTGCTTCCATGAAAGGCACAAAAGAATCATGCTTTCACCCTGGGCACTGCCTGTTGCTATAGTCATTATATACCCAATACCAGCTCCTCCTTTTCCTTCCACTCCTCCCCCACCAGGGCCACACATTACACACTGTGTACCAAAATATCTATGTTCTGGGTTCCTATATGAGGCAACTTAGCAGATATGAAAAAAATTTATTTAGCAGATATGAAAAAAAAATCACAGAACCTGAATAAGAAACTGTTGTCAAGGTATATGTTAAAAACCCAGAGACCAAGAAGGAAAGGTTTACCAATTGACCAAATCCTCATTACAGCTTTCTCCTCATTAGTGAAGTCACTTTGGCTGTAGACAAGTGGTAGGTTGAAGGCGGTTGGAGATATTATTTTTGGAGGATTGTTTTAGGTGACTTTGGCCCTAAGGCACCCCTACCTTCAGCCCCTCCCAGCTCTACAGAAAAAAACCAAAAACAAAAAACACAAAAACCCAGGCTGGGCCTGGAGTCGCTAATTAATCTCCTCCTGCAGAGCCCCAGCCCTCAGCCTCACAGCTCTGACTTCACAGACCTGTGGCCAGCCTGCAAGTGCCTGCTCCCCGTCCTGCTTTCTTCCCGTAGCTTTCATTTTCTGGGACTTTAGGGCAGGAGAAAGCAGCTGACCAGCCTGGGGCTACTCCTGGGATCCTTCCCAACCTCATGACCTTCCAGGTGGTGTTCTTGGCTTTAAAGAAAATCTCTTTCCCCACTGCTGAGCTCATACATTTACCAAATGCCAGTTCTGCTGCTAAAGATGGAGGTCATAGAGGTTCAGGATGGCTGTGGAAGCAGCTCAGCTCAGCTGCAATCCAACTGCAACACCATGACCTCCTGGGTAAGGGAGGGAGGGCTGGGCTGGGCTGGAAGATGGTTAATCACCCAGGACACAGGCATGGCTAGATGCCTGGCCTAGGGCTTTGGGGAAGAGATCCTGCAAACCCACTGGCTCAGCAGCAGCCTGCCTTCCGAGGAGCTGAGGCTCCTGCGGCGTTCAGGGATCAAAGTGAAATCTCAGAGCAGATACAACTTGTGCTTAGAGATGAGCTGCACCAAAGGATATGCCCCATGGGCTTGCAGGCAGCTCTCTTGCCTGGAGACAAGAGCGTTCCCACCTGCATCCTCTCTTCCTGTCTCCTGCCATCCCTGGCTCCAGTTGGATGATTTGGACGGAAGCCCTCAGTAAGGGGAGTGGTCACTCCTCCTGTGCTTGGCACTCGCCTTGTCAGAGTTGGTTTTTCTTTTCTTTTCTTTTTTTTCCCCAGCATGCAAATGTGTGATGTTCCTCAGTGCTGGTCAGCTAGGAACAGACCAAAGTGCCAAGGAATAGAAGCCAGCTCAGCCCAAGGCCTTGGCATAGCTGAGTGAAGCAGCTGAGGTAGTTGAAAATGCTATTAGCAGACAGCCTTTGTCCAAGTGGAAAAATATACTGTGATTAAGAACTGAGCTGTAGAAGGTACATTCCAGACACCAAAGCTTTGCATACAGACAAAGCGCTTTTCACCTTCAAGACATTTGGCCAACTGTAATCCATTAGAAGTTGAGATCCTTCAATTTCACGGGCCAAGGGCTGAGTGCTGGGTTCACAAACACCCACACATTCAATTCCCACCCTCCACTCTGACTGATCACTTCAAACTCTGAGGTCATCTTGATGACTAGAAGCCTGGAAGAAGGTGCTGATGGAATCCTTTGTTTCTAGAAGGAAACACACAAAAGGAATTGCTTCCTTTTGTGCAGCGCTTTAGGAAAAGTCGACATGCCGCTGGTCATGCTGTGGGTCGGTGCATTGCACTTCCAGATATAAATCAACCAAGCATGCACGATCTGGGTTACCAAGAGCTTTTGCCACTTACTTACCTGGGAGACTGATGCTAAACTCATTGGCTGAGAGGAAGGCTGTGGCTCCAAAAAAATAAACGAGCCCTGGGGTGGGGGTGGGGGATTTGATTGCATGCTGGAGACAGCAGAGCCAAATGCTAGGGGCTCAGGGAGAACCCTGAGGGACTAAAGATATTTGAGGTGCTAGTGGGATTTTCTCAGATAGCATATAGATAAAAGATCATAGCTCTGGAGGGCATTAGTTCAACTCTAGGCTGCTATGGAGATAGAAATTAACTGTGGTTGCCTCTGGGAATAGCTTGGGAAGGAACATGAGGGAACTTTCTAGAGTGGTGGGGATAGCTTACACAGGTGTATACGTTGGTCAAATTTGTTGAATCATCTATGTCAGATCTGTACATTTCACCCTACATAATTAGGCCTTGACTGGGGGCGGGGCATCTCCCACTCCTTAGGGGTTTTCAGACTCTGGGTCCCATCTTTTCCTGTGGATAACTTCAATGCTTCCTCTCCTCCCTGGGAGAAACCCAGAGCCCACTGCTAGGGGAACTGGAACTTTCCACAGGACTTACAGATGAACATGGAACACTATTTTTAGCTTCCATTGACCCAAACCAATCTCTTTGGTGAGATACACAGGCATTTTTCACTTTTGCTAATGAAGAAAAAAAAAAAGTGGTTTCCTGAGCCAGGGGCTAGTAGCTCACATCTGTAATCCTAGCTACTCAGGAGGCTGAGATCTGAGGATCACAGTTCCAAACCAGCTTGGGCAGGAAAGTCTGTGATGATATCTTATCATCGCTAAACTACCAAGAAAACCCAGAAGTATGGAGCTGTGGCTCAAGTGGTAGAGTTCTACCCTTGAGCAAAAAAGGTTAGGGACAGAGCCCAGTCTCTGAGTTCAAGCCCCAGGATTGGCACACACAAAAAAGCAGTTTCCTGAATAGGATTCACAAAATTTCTCTACTTGACAAGAAGTGGGAATCCCCAGAAATATACTGTTCTTAGCTGGGCACTGGTGGCTCACGCCTGTAATCCTAGCTACTCAGGAGGCTGAGATATGAGGATCATGATTGGAAGCCAGCCTGGGTAGGAAAGTCCATGAGACTCTTATCTCCAATTAACCATCAGAAAACTAGAAGCAATGTTATGGCTCAGAGTGATAGAACACTAGCCATGAGCCCAAGAAGCTCAGGGACAATGTCCAGGACCAGATTGGCACAACAAAACAAAAACAAAAGAAAAACCACAAAAAAACTCCTCACAACAAGAGGAAGAGGAGCTGTGGCTCAAAGTGGTAGAGCACTAGCCTTAAGCAAAAGAGCTCAGGTGCCTAGGCCCTGATTTTGAGCCCCACCACCACCACCACCAACAAAAAGAACCCCTCCCCCCAAAAAACACAGAAATATACTGTCCTTCCAAAAGAGTTTGAAGGTCCCTGGTGCTCAGGTTCATAGAAGATGTATATTTATGAGATTGCTGGCCCAAGCGAGGGAGTTGTCAATAAGAGCAGTCAGGAATTCAGGAGCAGAGTAGAAAGGTAAGGTGTCCTGATGAGGGTCCAAGATTGGGGGTGCAGAAATGGAGAATCTGCCTAAGTCATAAGGTGACACCTAGAGAGTTGTTCCCTTTCCACTGAGCAAGGCAAAGGAATGATTTTAATAGGGAGTCAGTGTTGTGTGAGAGTGATACCTGTTTGGGATGGCTTAGGGGTGTTAAGAACTCTGGTAGGAGGTGGTAGGAAGTTAAAACAGAGTGGCTTAAAGCACTTTCTACTCTCCACTGCTTATCACATGAGGGAAACTCAAGTAATGGGCTGAGTTAAAGACTATACAGCACTAATCTGAAGGAGAGCCAGGCAAGAACAGCTTCAGAAGGAAGAGAGAATATTCTGGCTCTCACCCTTTGGCAGGGAGTTGGGGCAGGAGCCCTGTGGCAAAATGCACTTTCTGTATTCCTCTTGGGGGCCTGAACCAACTTTCTGATCTCTCTCAGGAGCTGAGGGCATTTTATTAGGTTTTAAAATATTCTCTTTATTCAAGTGTTTTTCTAAGAAGACATACCACAAACATACAACAACAACCAATTTTTAAAAAATCACAAGAGATAGGTGAAACTAATTAATGACAAAAAAATTCACCGGCTAAAAAAATTAATATACACTAAATGGACTCAGGCCTAAATCTGTTTAAAAAATAAAGAAGATGAGGATCAAAGTAGAAATCATGGAATTTTTGGAAAACACCCATCATCATCTTTCTAATGGTATCCACCACCAGGTTTTGCCGTGGGAACTGTGGAAATATGGAATTAACCCAGCACTCTTCTTACTGGAAAACAAATTTCTAGAAAATGGCACTGGAACCCTTCTTCACAGGGTCAGATCTCTGCCTGTGATTTTATTTATTTATTTATTTATTTATGTCTGTCATGGGGCCTGAACTCTGGGCCTGGGCACTGTCCCTCAGCTCTTCAGCTCAAGGCTAGCATTGAGCCACAGAGCTACTTCTGGATTTTTCTGCTTCTGTGGTGCTGAGAAATCAAACCCAGGGCCTCATGTATGTGAGGCAAGCACTTTACCACGGAGCCAACTTCCCAGCCCTCTACCAGTGACTTTTTTTAACTTATTAAAATGGTTATTTTGGGAAGAGTGGAGTCACCAACCATCTTATCTGGATTAATGTAGAAGGACCCACCTATCTCCTGATCATCCATAGCCTTTCTCCTGGAATTGCTTATCCTCCCCAACTAACTAGCATCTGTACCTCATATACCTCCCTTTGCAACTATTCTCCTCTTCCGATTGTCCAGGCCTTGATGTGGCAGGCAGGGCGGGGAGGAGTCTCATCATCAGAGGACCACTGAGCGCTGGAGTGTACCAGCCACCAGCCATGGCGAACATTTGCAAAAATGTACAACATCCTTACTGGTTGGGCATTCTTTTAACCTCTTCTAATGGGTGAGGAAACACACTCAGATCAGAGCTGAAAGTATCTTGTCTGAGGGCAGGCAGCTGATCAGTGGAACTGGTTGGCTTCTTGAGCTATACACTTACATTTCACATGACTGTGACTGTTAAGGCAAATGGAAACTCTTAGGGACTCCTCCACCCTCCATCCCTCCCCCCACCCCCACTGCCCCAGTGTTCCAAGCAGTGAAGGGAGATTTTTCTCTTCTATCTGAAAAAGAACCTTCAGTCCTTGAAGCCATGTTAGGCAATTTCTGCCCTGCTCAGGGGTTTTCACCTTGTCCCTTTTTTGAGAATGCTATGACAAGGAAGGACCCCCTTCTGGATAACAAGTTTACCTATGCACTGTACTAGGGTTCTGGTGACTGTGGGCTGGGCTGGTGCATGCAGATGAACAGCCGTGGCGGCTGGACAGGCCAGGTGAAACCACAATTCTGTGTGTGACCCTGTGTTACTAGTATCAACAGTCTCCTCCAGTGACTGTCTCAGGGAGAATGGAAACAGGTCGGACGTTTGCCTTTCTCACGTGGACCAGAAAGAGTGGCCGTACTCCAGTTTGAACCCGCTTCAAGTGATTTGTAGATCAACGAATCGGGTCTGACAGGCTGGGGAAGTGCTCCCTGGGCTGGTGCTCCTGCCCTCCTCAGCCTCATCTCTCAGGCTCACTGCAGACTCCATAGCTTCTGCTTGGCATTTCTAGTGAGAGGTGGAAGCGCTTCCTCCATAGTCACCCTCCAGCTGTGCTAGGACAAATCTGGAAGTAGGCAGGGCTGCTGGGAGTGACGAGGACTGAACAGCTGAGCCCTACATTGGTGGCAGAATGCCCAGGCACAAGCTCCCGGCCTCTTTTCCAAGTTGTGCATTTCCATTTCCCCTGCTGCTCTGAATCCCCATACAGCAGAAATGCCCCCTTTTCCTAATGGATCTCTGACTTCTTCTCTTCTCCAACTGAACAATTCTGGTACTCTTTCTACACTTGGGGCTGGAACTTCTTGGTGGCCTCAGGAGTGGAGTATCCATGAAAGAGGATTCTGCTCACAAAGCCCCTTGCGAGCATGTCTGCTTGGGGCTCACACAATGCCTGCCTTTTCTTTCTTTTTCTTTCCTAAATATACTTGGGCATCTAAGCTCTGCTTTACTTCAAATTAGGCAAAAGCCACAAGACTCAAGGAAACAGGGAGGTGACTATGTTGCTATTGGCAACAGCTCAATGTACTCCCCCCACCCCCCAGCTAGAAAGTTCAAGTAACCCTTGACTACGACTACATGGGGGTATGCAACTGAAGTTTAGTGACTCAATATCATGGACAAAAATATCAAAAGATGAAGCCACTTGCTTGCTAGCAGAGGATTCTCCTGGGGACCTCATTTCATCTCCCTAAGGGCACTTATCTCCTGCAAAAATGTGCCTTTGATGGGGATCCTGATGAAGCCAGCTGCCCAGGCAGAGGCTCGAAGGTATGGGCAGTCAACTTGTTGATCTGTTCACTGTCCCTACCTCCCCAAAGGCACAACACTCAGTGACTGTCCATGTGCATCTGGATACATTGCAAGGAGGGCATTGTATTCCCTTTCTTTCCCTACCACCAGGAATGCAACTCCGCAGGTTACAGGTAACGAAGCAATGTTTTCAAGAGTTCCCTGGACAGAAACCTGGGTCGCTAGAATTCCCAGTCACAGAACACCTTCCTACTCCCCTGTTCCCTGGAGCCTTTTCACATGTTGTCAGATGCTTTGGGTTCCCATGGGACTGAGGATAGGTGTTTTCCCAGCTTCCTTCTCCCCTGGTGGTCTAGCATGTAGAAATGTGAGACTTGGCAGGACTTGGCCCTGGGCCCATGGAGGAAGGGTTACGGAATCCGTAACAGGAAGAGGAAACCTAAGGATCCTGCTATTTGGATTTTAAAATGTCTTCAAAGGAAGTAGGTGTTTCTGACTCATTCTGCTACCTTAAGATGGCACTTGTGCATTGCCTCTAGGACAAGGGACTGATCTCAGACTCATTTCTATACCTTGAAGCTCTTTGTTTCTTAAGAAGGAGAAAACAAACGGGATGCAAAAATGAGCAGAAAAAACACAGGGACGTGAAGAAATAGATGCTAGTGATCTTCCGTGGGGCCAGAACAGGAGTCGTGGGCAGAGCCGAGGTTCTAGACAAGACCATCTCTGCTGGAGTTTGGAGCACCTTCTAATAATGCAGAAGGATCCCCAAGGTTAGAGAGTGTGCGGACGCCGGATCACTCACCCACTGCTGGAAGGAAGCCACCTCGGGGGTGAAATGCAGCGGCCATTCTGACTCTGCGCCAGCAGCACTAGGCAATTGTGTTTGGGGGAAGGGAAGTGAAGAATAACTTATCCAGCTGAAACCGTGAAGATCTGTGGCTTCAGAGGCGCCCCTGCCCAGAAAACACACACAGCTGCTGGGACATGCGATCCATGCACAGAGGCACATGCAGGTCTGCAGCGTAGAGTGACATTAGCACCAAGCACTGACCATCTGGGTGTGGAGCAGTCAGGCAGCATGTGCACCTGCGCATATACACACCTGTGTGTATACACCCTGAGGTGCATGGTCATACAGCACACACTGACACAAACCTCTCATGCAAGGTACACAAGCAGCCATGCACATGTCTGGCTATTACATTACATCAATTCCTACAATGCCAATCTGACAAGGACTGCAAACTTAAAGCATTTGCCTTAAAATATATACATGGAACTGAATTCTCCCCAGGAAAATAAAACAAAACAAAACAACACCATTTGCATCTGTGGAAATGACCTCACCACTTCTGTTTCTATCAGTGCTACAAGCAATAGAAGGCTATGCCCCAGGGGTCTGGTTTATGGTGAGATTTCAAAGCATCTTCTGCCACTTGCTGCCGGCACCTTCAACAACCTTGCTGTGTAATAAGTTGTTAAAAAATAGAAACCTCTATTTATCTGGCAGATGGAGCCACTGGACTTGGTGAGGTTGTATTGCTTAGGAAAGCTACAAAAGGCAGATATCCTAGAGGTGAGTGTTCCCAGGAATGAGGCTCCGTTATACAGACAGCTACACTTGGAGGACTGAACTTCACCTTATCTCCTGGGTAGAACCATTCCTGGCCTGGTCCTTAGGGTCCTGAATCTCAGTTGGAGGCTAAATGCCAGGTTCTGGCAACATTTTAACTGTGGCTCTTCAGCTCCATCCAGACTGACAAGACGAACAGCTCCCACGGTTTCCTGGGAAGTAATTTAGAGGCTAGGAGTGATTGGTTGTCTAGCATAAGCTGACCTGCTGGGTGCCCATTATCTCTCTCTCTACCAGGAAAGCAGAGAAACCAGTTCTTAGAGTTAAATAGGACAGTAATAATAAGCTACCATGTGCTGTCCGTTGTAATAAATGTGCATGGCACATATTATCACAGAAGTTGCCCACTGACCTCCCTATCCCTGTCACATGTAAAACAAGTACAATGTCACTTACCTCACAGAATATTGTTGGAAATTAACTATGGTAATAAGCAGAGAGCTGAGCAAATAACATTATAATGATAAAATACTACTAGCAATTGAAGACAGTATGCTAATCAACTATTTATGTGTATGTGTATATATATGTATATATATATATATATATATTCCTACTTAATCTTATCTCGCTCTTATGGATGAGAAACTGAGGATTAGAGGAGTTGCTTATGTCATACAAGTAAGTAGCAGAGCTTGAGTAGAAGCAAAGTCCATCTCAGGCCACACCTCGCATGATGCAGTACAACACAGTGAGCTCCCAAGCCATGACAGCTGTTGCCACCATACCCTCTGCTGTTGTGTCCTGTCGTGTCCTACATTTCAATGTAGCCCTATCAGGATGTGCTCTACCCATCAGGCATGTGAGGGGCTTGTGCCAGGTCTCTTGGGAATCTCACGGGAGCTACCTGCTTTGAACTAAGTTTACCTCTCCTGCATTCCTATGCAGATCACTGTTAATGGTTAATGTGTCACAGCCAGATTTTTGACATTTCACTTTTGGTAGTTGGTGCAGCTCAACTACCAGCCAGCTCCTTTCTCTTTGGGGACATAAGCAGCAGGTGACTGGCTAGGAAGAATAGTCTAGGTGGCTCAGGCAGGGCTGCCAGCCACAAAGGGGTTCTCAAAGATGTGCGCTGGCTAGAGCAAGGGGCACCTCACTATGTGGTCCTGTCTGTAATCCCTGGGGTATGTGAACATGAAGAGAACCCTGACACCAAACCTGGATGAAATTGCTGAAAGACAAGTCAGTGGTGGTTCTGCTACCCACTACTCAACCCATATTCCCTCTCAGTGAGTCTTCTCATGATGTCCTAGGGACCTAAAGAATTATTTGAGAAAAGTATGACTGGACACTAGAAAATAGTAGGGCTTGAAGTTTTACTGGTACTAGGAAAGCCATGTCAATCTCCATCAAAGTATATAACCACCGGATTTTGATCATCCACATATGTTTATGGATGAGTCTTTTACATATTTAGAATTATGGGCGACCTGGAACCTTTCAGTATCATCTGGAACAAAATATTTGCCTAGAAGTCTTTCTGTAGGGCTGGGAATGTAGCTTAGTAGTAGAGTGCTTGCTTAGCATGCATGAAGCCGTGGGTTCGATTCCTTAGTACCATATAAGCAGAAAAAGCCGGAGTGGCTCTGTGGCTCAAGTGGTAGAACGCTAGCCTTGAGCACAGAGAGGCTCAGGTACAGAGCCCAGGCCCTGAGTTAAAGCCTCAGTATTGGCACACACACAAAAAAAAAGTCTTGCTATAGAATACAAGGTTGAGTAGTATCTTGTATGGAATGTTCCCACTCTTTTTCTTCAATAGAATCTGCTGTGATATGAAGACCATGCTGTCTGTCCTTACTTGATGATTTGTTCCATTAAGCAAGGGGTTCCATGCACTGTGATGTTGATGTAAGCGAAAGGCCAGGGGCCTGGTGCAGAATGGTCTCCACCCATGTGAATAAGTCCTCAGGTCTCCCCAGCCTCAGAGCCATGCTGACAGGCCAACTGCACCTGACAAGTTTTTGCAGAAATGTCTGAGAGAACACAGTAACCTTTGACTTTGCCTTACTAAAAATGTCTTACTAAAAACTTTGCTGACTTTACTAGGATCACCATGTTTAATGAGAGGCCTCCACGAATTTAAAAGCGAACGATGAAGAGAAGGGGAAAAAAAGCCATAAGCTGTAATCACCATAATTATACAATCCCATGATGAGTTGAAAGCAGCCCTGGTGAAGCCTAAGAGAGGAGGGAGTGTCATCATCTGTGATCAGGTTGGTTTTGAGGATGGCGGAACAGAATGTGACATGAAAATTCTTCCTTCTCTTCCCTGGAGCTGGATCTAAGATGACTCCCCAAGGCAGGGCCCATGAGGAGGGAGCAGCAGAGTGGGCAATTCCTGTAGAGCTGGAAGACTCTGGGGGCATGTTCTGTTCCTGGCCTGGCAACATGCTGTCAGCTTGTCCACTTGGATTTTCTCTGTAAGTGGCACTGCTTTATTATCTTTCCTGCTTTCAACAAAGCATCTGTCTGAGTAGGAACTGTGGCAAGCCAGGCTCCTGTAGCCTAGGGCCAGGGCATCCTATGTTCATGGACACCTGTGCCCTAGCAGGTGACTGTGTCCTCTACTCGCTGACCTCTTTTTGAAGCATTCAGGGGAGACAGCAATGTTACTCAGGGCTTAGCTGCAACAGCAGTAAATAGTGACAGAGAGAGAGAGAGAGACAGACAGAGACAGAGAGACAGAGAGAGACAGAGACAGACAGAGAGACAGAGACAGAGAGACAGAGACAGACAGAGACAGAGAGACAGAGACAGAGAGAGGGGCATAGGTGACATGTGAAGGGCAGTAATTCCGTTTCTTGAGCGTTTCCCTTGCTCTGCTTCCAGTATGCCATTGTTAGGCTTTTTCTCCCTCAAGGCAGAGTCTAATGTAATTCTCTGTATCTCTCCCCCCTCCAGTCTTAGAAAAATCCCTTTATATGATCCACTCTCCTTTCCCACAACTTATTTATAAACCACTGAATGAAATACAGTAAAGGTCCACTTAAAACATTTAATGCAGCATAGAACTCCAGTGAGAAGAGATTAGGGAATCCAGCTTCTAAGTCTTAAGCCCTTGAGCTCATTGCTCCTTGAGGTTCCAGATTTTAACCCTGGATAGTGACTGCTGCCAGAATATTCTTCAGTAGAGTGACCTTTCCCAAATCTCCCATCCCTTTGCTCTAGCTTTGCCCTCTGGAGCAACCTAGAATTCCTTATCCTAAAAGACAAGTGGAGATAGCGCTCATGATGACCATCAAGTCAGCTTGATCTTCATCTTTTCTAGTCTCTTCTGCTGTGGCCTCCACAGGTCATTTCTCACTCCAGTTATTCTTTTCTAAATTTTCTCCAGACTTGTGAAAATCCTGGATAAGCTATAGGAGCTGAGAACCAAAACTCTACATGTAGCCTCTAGCACGCAAAGCAATGGAACACTCGTCTCTTCTTGATTCATTCTCACTTTGGTTATCATACTCTAAATTTGTCTCTTTGTCTATTTTTGTGCTAGCCACTGGGACTTGAGCTCAGGGCCTCGAATTCTTTCTTGGATTTTTCGCTCAAACTGGTGCTGTACCACTTGAGCCATATCTCTATTTTCAGCTTTTTTTTGCTGGTTAATTGGAGATGAGTCTCTTGGATTTGTCTGACCTGGATGACTTCGAATTGCGACTCTCAGAGCCTCCTGAACGGACAGGGATACACATATTAGCCAGCAGTGCCTAGCTAAAGAGGGAATCTCTTTAAGAAGGTGTTTGTTTACATTCTGCTTTTGTGGACATTATGCTCATAGTAAACCATAGCTCCTCAATTTTTTTTAAACTGAAATGATAGATCAGGTTACAAACAACTATCCTGAAGTGTGAAATTAGTTTCAAATAAATACTTTCCATCTGGCTAATTTTTATCTAGCTATTCTTGACCCACCATCTAGCTAAAAAGAGCTACTTTCTGCATAGAATTCCATTATCTACCAAATGAATGACACTTTCCAAGACCAATAGATATAGTAATATGTTGGTACATTTGTATTGTCATTTAGGCCAGAGCCATGGCTGTGGGCCCTGCGTATCCATTAGATCACTTTCTGATTGACATAGACTGGTTACTACCCTCTTCCTCACTAGCCACTGAGCACTATGAGTGCACTTGCTTTGCTTATATACGGAGCAGGAATGGGTATTATTTTCAACCTTATCGTGCTAAAAATATTTTTAAGAACAAGGAATAGAGTTGTTAGGGTCACTTCCTATA